TAACTCGGGGCTTTACGGAGGGAGATTTAGTGTATGCCCTAAATCACGCGGGGGAGCCGAAGTGGGTGAAAGCGACCATCATCTCTATCACCGGGCCCCGATCCTACGAAGTTCGCGTGGAGGACAACCGGGTTTGGCGGCGCCACCTTGATCAACTGAGGGGCCGAATCGGGGTCGCTGGGTTACGCCAAGAAAGCGCAGCCGACCACGCGGGCGGGGCCAGAGACAACAGCGGGGACGAGTATTGGCCATTGGTTCCACCCGTCAATCAACCACCTCGAGAAGCGAGACCCATTGCAGCGGCCCAAGGACAACCACGCAGAGGGGAGAATACCGAGGCAAGAGCGGAACTGAGTCACACGGTTCCCCGCCAATCAGCGCGAGGGCATCGGCCTCCCACATATCTGAAGGACTATGTAACCACTATTCACCAAGGACGATAGCAAGAACTTTGAGGGGAGGGGTGTTGTGTTCTTTGTATTCCCCCCCCCCCCTTAATCCCCTATGCATATCCTGATCACCCATTAAGGGTGATTGCCCTTCACCATTGATCGCCCATTAAGGGTGATTGCCCTTCACCATTGATCGCCCATTAAGAGTGATTGCCCTTCTCCATCTGCATACAGTTTCATGCCCGTTGCTTGTTGGCTAACTAGCAACAGGGTCTTGCCAGCCAATGGAATTGTGTGATTACAAGCCAGGGGAATCCCATAAAAGAGGGCTCCCCTGGCCCAGAGAGCCAGTCCGGATTTACTTTATGCCTTGCCAATAAACCAAGAGCTGACTGTCACTCGACTCGTGTCTTACTGCCTGCGCGATCTAACAGTTTTATATCCTAGATCAGTGATGGCGAACTTTTTAGAAACTGAGTGCCCCAAAACTGGCCCCACCCCCGCTCCACCCCCTGCCCCCACCCCGTCCCCCACCCCACCTGCCCGCAGGGCCACTCATCGCCTCCAGGGCCCACTGCAGATAGCAGGCAGCCCAGCAGCGTCATGGCAGCCACGCCCCCTGCTCACGCCCGCAGCATCAACTGTGCGGGATAGGGTGTGAGGTCAGAGTCTTGTCTACGCTGCCTGACTGCCATGTCCTTGGCTGCGCTGCTCTGCGTGGGCCACGCTCGGGGGTGACTCTCCTCCAGGGGGGCTGCTGGTGAGGAGGGGTCACGGGGGGAGCCAAGGCTAGGGCAACGGCACATGTGCCCACAGAGAGGGCTCTGAGTGCCGCCTCTGGCACCCGTGCCATAGGTTCGCCACCACTGTCCTAGATGCAAGGATGTAAAATGTGGATACTAATAGCTTAACGGTAACATTAGCATGGAGATTACAGAATATATCTCCTCCATAGTTCCTACTGCACTAATTTGATTTTATAAAAGGAAAGAAGCTCTCTGATTATTAGTAGATGTTTTAGAAATTCAAGCTGAGAAACCTGAGTTGGCTTTAGTATAAAAAGTTGTTTTTATGCTACAAATTTAATTTTTGGAATATGTTTTAGAAAACAAATCCTCTGTTTTTATTAATTGGTACACACAGTCACACACATATATTTATATGGAGTATACAATTTATTTAATGCACAATTTGATCTCAAAAGGAATAAGGTTCAGTTGGAAAAAATTAGTGAAAATCTACCTGGTATAATTAAATATTTTGATTCCATCCCTTTTAGCAATTGAAAGATGACATTCAATGTGTATTAAAAAAAGATAGTGTCCTTTTTCTTTCATACACAAAGTCAACAGACAGAAAACACTTTTAATCAACTAGAATCAGGATTGTAGTTTCCAAGATCACATTTAAAGAAATATGAATATAACAAGATAGTGTGATAGAATAATTTAATTTTTTTGTGCCCTTGAATCAGTTTCAACTCCTGGTGACAAGTCCCTACAGGTTTTTTGGAAGTGGTTTGCCATTATGTTCTTCCTAGGGCTGAGAGAAAGTGATTAGCCCAATGTCACCCAGCTGGTTTTGTGCCTAAAGTAGGACTAGAACTCACAGTCTCCTGGATTCTAGCCTGCTGCCTTAGTGTCTACACCAAATTGACTTTCAATGTAACTGTTACCTTGATAATTAATTACTGCTATTTCTGGTATCAGAGGTTCAATTTGCTTCATTTTTTCTTGTTTCCTTTTTTTTCTTAATATAGAAACCCAAGCTATAATCAATTTGTGCTTAAATCAGATGAGCTATTAATTTCAGGAGCCATGCAGGACAGCTGCAGCTTATATAATAAAAGGCAAGGACATGAAAGTTTGTCACTGTAGAAAGAGGCTGTTGAGTGAAATCCTGGTCTGCCTAGAGGACGTGCATTTTAAGAAAGCAAATGGATGGATATAAACATGACTTTCAAAATCTTCTAAACTATGAATGTGTACATTCAGTAAAACAAGAGAAAGAATAGCATAAACGATTTCCCATTTTCCCTTAACTCAAGAGCATCTGTAATCTTGCACATTTTTAATGCCCTCACCACCACAGTAAAAGGCATTTTAACGATGTTACACATTTGAGTACCAAGCTAAGATGAAAATCAAGAGATTTATTTAGGGCAGAGCCTTTTCTTCAACATATTGTCCCCTTCTTTGATATATTGTCACCTTCACTGCCAATTGTCATCTACATTGACAGTAACTTTTCTAATTCTGTTCTTTTTATTTTGAAGATATTCAAGGAAGCTCTTTTACTCATTCTCCTGATGCCTCATTAATATTAGCTCAATCTGAGTTTTAGCTTTCCTGATACCATCTGTACAAATCCATACCATCTCTGTAGGGTTAGTCTGGTCTTCTCATTAATAATTTCCCCCCATTAAAATAGCAATAAAATAGAAATATACGGAGGATATTTGAAATACCTGTATTGCTCCTCTCAGGTTAATTCCTGTTTCAATGGCCACATAGTATGATGCCTGGAGAAAGGTTCTTTGCAATAGAAGTGCAAAAAAAAGGAGGACCGATAAAACATAAAAATTAGCCAAGAATTCTTGAGAAGAGATGAAGTAAACACCCATTATTTTAAGCTGAAGGAAAAAACAAAAAAAACAAAAGGCTATTAAGAAACTGTTCTGTTTTTAAAGAATTCCTATAAATGCAATAGAACACAAATGCACAGTGGAAACTGCAGAAATACTGGAATATATTTTAGCAAGGCATAGAACAATTGCTGAAATTACTTACAAGATCTTGCAAAGATGGTAAATATATAATCTAATTTTGATTTACATTGGAATGCCAGATCCCCAATAAAACATTTTTTATTGTTAAAAGTAACATTCATTGTATTTCTCACATTGAAGTCAGCCTTATTTCTG